CAAGTATCTGGGGATGGCGATGAAAGTGGGTGTGCCTGGGTGGCCACAGGTACACACACAGAATGTGTTATCTCTTTTTATAGTACAGATAACTGTGGTTCAGAAAAATTTAGTAAGTCACTCAAGGTTATAGTGTTAACGTGCAGACCCAGGAGTTGAGGGCACATCAGAGCTCTGAATGCACTGACTTTCTGCAAGGCATGGGCTGCTGGCTATGCCCAAGTACACATGGCGCATACCCAATCTGTGTTTACTTGTGGCCTGGATACTCAGCTCTCTGACTGAGTCTGGTTACGGCCAGCAGTGTATCATAGCGATAGAATACTTGACTAGCATGCAGGTTTCCAGTTTCAGTGTCTCTGGTTCAATCTCTTATGCCTCAAATAAAGAAGACATGTTGACCATTTAGATAGTGTTTGCATCTGTCCAACTCTTATACTGAAGAACCACACCTTCACCTTCCTCTCTGGTAGGTGTTAAGACAGGTGACAGGCTGGCTTTAGTCTCTAGTCTTGGGAAAGGGCTCACCAGTCTTGGGTCTGCAGGGTGACAAGTCATCCAGAAATATCAAAGGCGTGCTCTTCTTGTCAGCAGAGAACTGATATGTTGGTACATGGTGTTCCGCAAGTTACTGAGTAGTCTATGTTTGTCTGCAACCCCCTTCCTGCCCTGTCCACCCGCTGTAGGTAGTGTATGGGTGGGCAGAGATACCAGAGCAGCTGTTGATGCCTCTTCTTTCCTCTCTGAAGGATCTGATGCTGCTGCCGTTGAGGGCTACTTCATCTATTAAACCCAATACACTTGTCGCAGCTGCTAAGCCCCCGTAAGCCGCCGGGCGCCGTGTTTGTGATGGGACTGACAGTGCATGGAGGAGGCTGATTATACACGATTCCATTTCGCGGGCCCAGCAATGTAATTTCACAGGGCGATCAGCGTTTGCATGTAATAGCAGGCTGTGCTGAGGTGTCAGAATATTAAAGGCGCTAATGGCAAAGCTCCCTGTTACACAGGGGGCCACCCGCCGCGCCTACAGCAGGGTTGTGCAGCAGGCCCGTCGCAGATGGCTGGCCACTAAGCTAATGGGGCAGCAGCCAAGGCGGGCAGAGCCACAAGAGGGGAAAGCCAGCCGGGAACAGCTCGGCACCTGCTTCCCTGCGCATGGAAATTACAGCAGCCCAGGGGAAGGGAAATGTGCGTGCCTGCCTGACAGGGTAGGGTGGGTTGGTTCAGTGGGTACAGCATCTTTCAATCCAGCTCCACCTGTCCTCCTGGCTCAGTGTTTGAGTGCCTGTCATAGACAGAACTTAGAAGTCATCTTTCTTTCCTTAGTAGTCATCCTTCCACCTGCGCCACCCTCTAACTGGTAACCCCAAGAGTTGGGTACTAACTGCACAGCTGGGCAGGTGGGCCTTGATGGCTGATGGGGATGCAGTGACCATTGGTAAGCAGCTCATGTACAAGGGCTTGGGAGAGTTCTTAAAGCAGATTCTTGTCCCACACTGACCAAGATTAAGAATCTTCTAGGCCCTTGCCCCTTCCCCACAGGTTGAAGGAAGGGAGCAAGAAGAGGAAGCTTCTCCCCACCCCTGCTGTTCCTCTTTGTCTTGGCTGCAGTGCTCCCTATAGCCTGTACTCAGACTTTCCAGTAATGCTCCTCCAGGAGGCTTTCCTAACCTCCTCCAGCCTCACACAGGGCTCAGCCTCCTGCTCTGATTGATTGCCAGGTGGCATCCTCGACTTTCCAGCCAGAGTTCTTACAACATAACTTGGATACCTTGTCCTGAGTGGAACTCCTGGAAGAACTCTGCTAAGGTTGTTTATAGATGCAGTCTCTTTAGGAGGATGGCAGGATGGGCAGTCACTGGAGGCAATGGCTGAGACACTCCTTGGTATATATTGTCCTGGATTTGGGGGGGGGGCTTCAAAAGGGAGTACCAAGGTGCAAAGGGACAGCAGATGTGATGTCCAGAGTACACGGGGATGGGAACACAGGTTGCGTTGTTGGAAGAGCCTCTTGTGTGTGTTTCCTGTGACTGTGACTGCTAGCTAAAATGACAGAGTTGTTTTGTTTTGTTTTTTTGCTGGGGGTGGGGGCAGATTTGAGGTGCTGTGCCTAGGCTGCTTCTGTGAGACTGGTGGCTGTGTCAGAAGGTTAAGCTCTTGGGGAGATATGCAAGTGTTCTCAGGAGGGGCAGCAGGAGGAATCCCAGGCTGAAGGAGAGCAGTTTTAATTAACCGTTTTTAATATCATTTTGGACTTTGGCTGGTATATGAAGGCCCCGCTGGAAGCAGCATTTGTAAAAATTAAATCCCTCTTATTAGGAGCTTGGCAGACCCATGTGCACATGCCACCCCCTCCTCCTGGCCCATACCCCCTGAGGAAGTGCTGGATGAGGCCGTGTCTCAGCAGCAGTTGGTTATCATGCCTTATCTAGGACTATGAAACTGTGCAGCATGACACCACAGCCACAGTGGAGACGCCAATTCATCTCACCCTTGCTCTGACAAGCTACACTGCCCTTCCTGAAAGGCATCCGTCAGGCGGGACCAGGCTGCACCTTGCCTGCTACTTCTCTCCCGCCTGGGGCTCCGGCTTGCCCTGGTCCAGCCTGGCCCTCCACCCCCCTTTTACACATCCTAGCCTGGGAAGATCTTGGGGAGTCATAATTACAGTAATAATCTAATCATGGTGACGTATGGGGCAAGCATCTAATGTTATCTGAAGTGGTCTTGCCGCTTAGCTGTGATAAGGCTCAGGATGACGTGCAGATAACGTTAACATGCCCTGTCCCTGAGCCACAAGCAGAGTGGAGGGGCCGCCACAGCCCTGCCGCCCGCCGCTTTAAGCCGGGAAGCGGCAGCACCTGCTAATGCAAGTGTTTAATATTTGATGGGCTGGGATAAAGCGGGATCACCTTCGAATTGAATTGAGTGTCAGCCGAGAATCTATTACTGAAATTCGGGTGTGATTTGACAGCAAAGTAGACGATGTTATTCTTCACTAGTTACTGCAATCTTCTCCCCGACATCACTTAAATATTTTTTTCTTTGCTTGAGTAAACACACATTATCCTTCTTTTTTCCCCCTTCCTTCCCTTTTTCCTTTTTCAAGGGGGAAAAAAACCCATCCAGCTCGCCTTCTCCAGGCTGATAGAGTAGATTGTTATTTCTTTATTTGTCCTATTAAATGGAATTTCTGATCGTTTAATCCGGCCTTTGTAAGTGATTTTAAAGTACTTGAAAGGCAGCCGCCACTGCTCTCTGGCCCACTGCGCTCCAGCCTCAGCTGGCCATGCTCAGTAGTTCCCCCAGCTGTGCCCACCCACTGACTATGCCCCTTATCTGTCTGTCTGCTTCCTCTTGCTGCATGCAGCCCCTTGTTGCCCACATCTTGGTTCTGCCAGCATGCTCTTTCCCAAACCCATCCTTGAGTCCCACACTCAGCCTCCAATAGCTGTGACCTGGGAGAAGGTAGACAAGGGTTGGCTGGAGTTGAGCTTTGGCTGGTCCCACTGTGGTCAAGGAAAATGGTTTTGGAAAGAACTAAGCTTTAAATTGCATTGGCTCCTAGTTCTTCTATTGTCCGTGGGCTAGGTTCCTAAAGCTGGAAATGAAAGAAACTGGCCCTCTGCCTTCCTAGCCCCTGGGCCCTGGCACAGATACTGTCTACCCCCACCTCCACCCCCACACACAGAGGCACAGACACATCTTGTTTCTGGCCCTAGGCTGGGTCTTTTCCTCATGTGAGAGCTGCTGGGCCCAGAAGTAGGTGGATATGGCAGTGCTTATCTAAGCATGGCTAGCAGGCACTTTGGTTCTGTCACCAGGCCCAACTCACCCAAGTTTCATCCCCATTGCCACTGTCCCACATGCTGTCACCTTCTGCCATTAGAAGAAGGTCAGCTTGGTGTTTAGTGACTTCTGAGGCAAAGAGATAGGGATAGTTTAAATGTTTGGTTTGATTTCAGGCCTGCTGGCAGAAGCCCAGGACTTTATTTTTTTATTATTTTTTTTTTCTGGCACGCTAAGAAGGAAGAAATCCCCCTCACCCACATAATGGAGGTCTAATCCACATAGCTCAAAGTCACTTTCTTCTGGGCCTCAGTTTCCTCATCTGTGACTTTAGGCCTGTCATGCCAGTGAGGGAAGGCAGATTCTGTCTTGCCATGTGTTCCCCACAGATGGAAGTTGCTGGAGGCCAGATGGTGCCATAGAGGATGGGGGGAGCAATGGAACTGCTGGGGACCTGAGCAGATCGATGCCCCCAGCACTTCCTTCCCCAACCCCAGGAAAACAATTAAGTACAGATCAATGGGTGGCCGCTTTGAATATGCATAAGTGAGCACTTGACCTTCAACAGAACACACACACACACACACACACACACACACACACACACACCCCACCCTGTACTTCCCTCACTTGAGTTGCTTGAGTTGACCTGATGACCTTACTCCCCCTTTCATTGAGCTCCCGCACTGCACTAACAGCCTTTCCTGTTCAGAATCAAAAGCAACTTGACCGCAGGCATGGTATTGGCCAGTCCCTGTTTCATCTGTCCTGTCTGTGGAATGAGATTTGGAACCACCAATCTCCCGGATTCTACCTGAGAAGTCTTTGTGACAGTAATGTCAAGGGAGGGAGCCCAGCACAGTTGTGTTGTTGATGGGAATCTGTGGAGGGTGTATGGTGAAGGAGATACTGCGATGAGGGGAGGACCTTAGCAAGCCGGACTTCTAGAGAAGAGCCCTGCAGGGGACTTCCAGGAAGGATGGCAGATGCTGAAGGGGAAAGCCCAGGAGGAAGAAGACTTTGGAGAAGAAAGGGGTTTTGGTTGGGGGGCGGGGGACACCTCAGTGAGAGGGAGATGGTAAGGGACTCTAATGAGGTGGTATTACAAGTCCCTGAGGGGAAGAAGTGGGGACTGGGGGAGACTTGGTGAGTGGGATTTGCTCAGTGGCCAGGGCCTCTGTTAACAACTCTTGCCTCCTGTCTTCCAGGCTTACAGCTTCGCCATGGGCTGCTGGCCCAAGAATGGACTACTAGACATGAACAAGGGTCTCAGCCTGCAACACATAGGCCGGCCCCACAGCGGCATTGGTCAGTCCCTCCACAAATCCCCCTGGCAGTTCTGTCAGTCCCCTGCCCGCATGCCTCAGTCCCCTGGCAAACAGAGGGTTTCCATGTATCATTCAGTACTCCACCCTTGGCTGGGGGGAGGAGGGTAGGGAGGGCAGATTGCAGATATTATGAATTGGGGCAATTGGAAAGGACCTCTCAAAACATTTCAGAGGAGACTGGGTGAGTCACAGGTGGCCTTAGATTCAAAATGCTGTCCCTTGTCCCTATTGCCTGTATCCCTAGTAGGCAGTGTCTTCAGGGATATGGGCATATGTCAGCTTACCCACCCCCCTGTGGAGCTGGAGAAGGCTGTTTAATATTGTTTCAAGTCTGTGGCCACTAAACTGGACGATCAATGGGAGTTAAGGAGATGAATTATTTAAACCTCACCAGCTTTTAATTAGTCTAGGTCCTTCTGACCGATGACTTTGTCCACAGGGTATTGACTCCCCTGCAGGAGCAGCAGCCTCTACTGAGCAGTGCCTGGGTTGGGAGGGGCCACTTGGGGTAACAGGTGGGGTAACACTCGGGGATTTCTGCTTGGGAGAAACTGGAATGGCTGCAGTTCCACATAGTTGGCAGCTCTTTGAGCTTGTGTATATCGGTGTGAATATGTGTCTGTGTATGACATCTTGTGTGTATGTCTGTATGACTGAGTATAAGGTATCCATCCTTGTATATGTCTGCCCAACAATACATCCATGTTTATTTGAGAGCATGTGTATCTGATCGTGGAAACAACTGCCAACCTGTGTGTGTATCTGTCGGAAGAAAGTCTCTTTCTGAGTCTCTTATTTTGTGTGTGTGTGTGTGTGTGTGTGTGTGTGTGTGTGTGTGTGTGTGTGCGTGCGATGCTTCCAAGGAACACAGATGACCAGCTCTAGGCATTGTTCTAGGGGATGAAGCCAGGGTGATCCAGGGTGGCATTATGACCTTATTAGAACCTTATTACTTTTGGCAAGGTGTCATTGATAGGGGCTAGTGACATCAGAATTGTAGAAGGTCCCAGCCACTTGCTACAAATTTGCTCTTTACCCATTCCACATCTGTCAGTGCCCAGTTGGTGCTGAACATCCTGAGGAGGCACAGAGCCTGAAATGCACACTTGACTGCCAGGTGTACAACTGGTGTGGCAGAAACATCTGGATTGCCATCAGGGAGATTTCCCTGTTCTTCTCATTCAGTTGGGCAGCTCCTACATCATCTACACTGTAGTGATTCCTGGGATGCCCTTTATCAGTCGTAGGGAGCAGGGGGAGAAGCCTGGGGCTCTGGGGTACCCTGCCGTAACTGCTGTTCTTTGCTGTGATGAATCTTGAGGGTTCAACAGGAAATCCACTAGGTAAAAACACTTGAGGTGGGATCCTTGAAGGGTAAATACATTTTCTAGGTAGAAAAACAAAGGAGTAGTACTTAGGCAGAGAAAGTATGTGTACAAAGAATGCCTGAAGACCTGAAAGTGTATTAAGAAGACAAGTTTAGACATCAGCAGGTAATACCCTAAGCCTGGAATAGAAAGTTTAGTTTAATAAACAGCTAGATGCAGAGCCTTGAGTGCTTGCTTAGAAGCTGATTCTTCCCTCCCCGAAGTAAGGTTTAGAGGGGATGTTGGAAGATGGAAGATGATATGATCAGAGCTCTGATTCAGAATCAGTGCAGCAGTTCATGCTGCACAGAGCTAGCTCTTAGATGTTGCTCAATAAAATCTTGCAGCTGGATGGATGAAAAGCTGGTGAGTAAATGAATCGGTGGAAGAGGGATGGAACACGGAGAGACTCAGGAGATAGGACCATTGAGAAGGCATGCATGCATTCAAGAAAGGACTAGCAGCAGTGGAGTCTGATGGCTGCTTGGTTAGAACAACAGGACTATGGTAGGCATCTTCCACAGCCTTGACCTAAGTGTCCTGCTTCTGAATGTCTGGAGTAGGATGTATCTGTGAGGGGTATAGCTCTCTCTTGCCAGTCTTTGTTGCCTCTTGAGGCTCTGTGATTCCTCCCTTGTCTGTTCTCCTGGGTTAGGATTCCTGGGGTGGCCTGGTCTTTAAAGAACTTTTTTTTTTTCTCTCTGGCCCGATGGGGCAGCTCACAGATCTGAGTAACAGTGAAGCCAGAAATAGCTCTGGCTTTACTATGCAAAACCCTGAGACCTCAACTGAGGGGCAGGGCTGCCAGCTTCTTGGAGGGACCAGTGAGCAGCCCAGGGAAAGGCCTGTATGGGACGCATCTCAAGGTAGATGCTCAGGAAGCTCCCTCTCCATCGCTTTGCCAATGTCAGAGGCTGCCAGGGCACTGGCCCTTCTTGGCACTTAGTCTCTGCAATCTGAATGAAGAGGGCAGCCCTGCCAACTCCTGGCTAGCTCTGAGGTGTGGGTGAGGGTGTTTAGAAGGGAGGGAGGATAGAGGGCATTAATTGGGCTGGGAGAGGCAGGGAGGGGAGGCGTGGGTTTTGAGCAGTGAGGTTAATGGCCCTCGCACCAAAGAGACAGCTTTAATGAGCTTCAGCTGGCGGTGCCCTGAGTTACTGTGCGTGCTAAAAGGGTCGCGCTGTAAGAGTTTGATGTGGACTGCTTCCCAGCCCTGGGGTCAGGGGTCATCTCCTGTCACTGGCCACTCAGGCTGGTCCTCAGTGACATGGTGCTAATTAACTGTATGAGGAGCTGCCAGGCTGGAGTAGGGAATGGTATGCATATTGTTGAGTGGGGGGTGAGGCAGCATTGGGTGAGGCTGGACAAGAATTGTGCAGATCCCACCACTTAGCCATTTCTAGGCTCTGATTGGTTCTTCTACAGTGCCATGGTGATATGACATTGATGATGTAGAGGTGCTCAGGACAAGGAGGCAGACTGGCTGAAGGGGTGGGGTGACAGGAAGAGGACAGGGAGATAGACTGTGGTTGTGGGGGGAGGCCAGTCAAGTGTGTATCTTTAGGTGTCTGAATGGAGGGACTTGGTCTGACATGAGTTTTGAGTGTGGTCTGCTGGTTTGTGTGGGGAAGACTGGGGGAGAGTCTGCAGGACAGGGAGGCCAAAAGAAAGGCATGAAAAGAGCCAGGACAGTACGGAGAATGGGGGCAAGGAACCAGGTGAAGCTTCCTTTTAGTCATTTACTGCGTGCCTTTATCTACTGTGTGTCAAGAACTGTGACAGTGAATTGGTATAGATGCCATGGTTTCTGGTACCCACATGTTTCAGGTAGAATTTTGCGCTTAGCACTGGAGACAGAAGGAGATGGCAGTTCAGGAGTGGCTAAAGTAGAGTCTAGAGATGCTAGAACACTGGGCAGAAAGGCTTTGGAGGTCTGTGAACAAGACATTTTAGCAGGGTCGAGGTGGCTTTGGCTTGGGAGCCTGATATACAAGCTAGAGCTATAGTGGCAGGGCTGCCAAATGTAGATCTGCTAACTTCTAAGGAACCCCAGTTAGCTTGTCTCCAAGATAGGACGGCCTCACGACTGTTGAGTGGTCTGACTTTCTTTCATTTCATCAGAGGGTCAACAAAGTGTTCCTTTTGTTTTACGTAACTAATTTTCATAACAATCCTATGAAGGTAGGCATCACTTTCCCTTCTTAGAGATGAAGAAACAGAAGCTCAGTTGAATGACTTGCTTAAGGTCCCACAGCCAGTTGGACTAAGGATCTAGGATTAAATAAATATCCAAGGACACGGCCCAGCTTCTCAATCCCTGTGCCTTTTTAATATTGAACTTTGTTATTGCTTTAACTTAAAACAAACAAACAAAAAACCTGGGTTCTGGGAATCAAACTCAAATGCTCATGCTTGAGAGAAAGTACCTCTGCCTAGCCCAGCCTGGACACTCACTTTTCCTAGTTTTCTTAAAGTCATGTGACCCTTATGGGTCTTTACAAGTTTGGGCAGCAACAGCTGAAGAAAGGAAGGCCGACACTGCCTCCCGTCAGACTTGTTGAAGCCACTTTTCCCCGAAGCCAGGGCACTGCACCTGCTGACCTCTGGCCTCCTTGAGTTCTTACTCTGATTGCAGTTTGCTCTCTCCCTCTTGGCCCAGGGAATCTCACCCATCTTCCAGGCCCTCACATTAGGAGTATGCAGACTATCCTGATATCATTTGTGTAGGCAGTAACTGGGTCCTTTCGGCTAGGGATGCAACTCAGTAGAGCGCTTATCTAGTATGAATAAGGCCCTGGGTTCAGTCTGTAGCGACTCACACCCTTGTACACGCATAAACGCATACGGAAACACAAAGCCTGAGTCCTCCATACTGGGCTTTCTACAGCAGAACCTGGGTCCCTTCCTTCTTTCCTTTCTGAAATCTGCACAGCAAACATCAGTCAAACCCGCTGTTTTGACAGCCGCAGACTGCTGCAGCAACTCTTGATACCCAGCTGGGTGGTCCTGCCCTGTGATCTTAGCCTCTCTGCTCTGAGACTGGGGAGAGTCCTGCTGAGGCTCATGGCACAGGTGGCATGGCCAGAGACCAAATGGACTCTCAGGAGCTTGCTGCCTAGCAGTTTGGCAAAAGCGGAGTTGGCAGGTGTGGGGGATGCCCCTCTGTCGGGAGAAGTACTAGCCTGTGGTCTCCCCCACATGAGTGGGGTGTCTATCAGAGTCCAGTCAGAATGTATTAGCTCTGTGGCATGGATCTCATTAGTGCCCGTGAGAGGTGTCACTGCAGGAGAATCGTAGGCTCAGGGAGACGCTTGTACCAAAAGGAAGAAAGGACAGTGACAGCCTTTTCTCTGCCGCCAAGCTCACTGGGCCTCTCGCCCTCCTCCTCGTGGGGAGGGGGGTGCTGGCTAATGAGCTCAGCTGCAGTATAGCTTTGGCTTCCCCCTCCTTGAAGTTTCCCAGGTCTCTGTGAAGACCTCAGGCCCCGGATTAGCACACGGGGACACCAGCCCCTCCTCTTGCCCAGCAGGGAGTTCCTTCTGATCACCCAGCTCTACCACAGGAAAGGAAGGGGGGGGGCTGAGGGGGGAAGGGGCATTACACCCCTGGGAAT